GTTTATAAATCTAAATCTCTGATAAAAATCATTTGAAATAAAAATCTGTGTAAATTAGTCATTTACTATCTCAATGCCACTTACCCACAACTGGATTCCTCTTTGTGGAATTATGTAAAAGAAGGTATGAGGACATAAGGGAGGATGTAGAGCAAGATGGGAAACTGAGGCACATACCATCTACTCTGAGATCTAAACATGTACTAAGAGAAGGGAAGTACATACTATACTAATTTTTCCAGTTTTACTCAAGCCTGGTACTCATTAGCACACTTGTTACTGAGCACATGCTTGTACCAGGTACCACGTTAGGAATACAGACAACAGGTCTGCACTGAAGAACAGGTGGTCTAGCAGAGACGAGACATTACCCTAGCACAGTATGGAAAGAACAGCTCATATTAAAGGAGTAGCCGTAATGCTGTGGGATCACAGAGAAAGCAAAGATCAGCAGTTAGTAATCAGGGCTTTGTAAAAGTTATGTTGCCACTGAGCTTTGAAAGAAGAGATGTTTATCATAAAAAAGGCTCAGGAGAACATTCTGGATCAGGGGACAGCCATGGGCTAAAATAGAGACACCACGCTTTAAGTAATTGTGTTTGGGTAAGTCATCGAGGCGCTGCGTAGGGGTAGTTTGGGAGAACGAACTACTGAAGGAGCCTGTGAAGAGCCATGCTGAGGACTCGATACCGCAGGCAGCTGACGCGCCACTGAAGACTCGTAAACGAGGGTGGTGTAATTGGGTTTTTAAAAATCCTAGTGGTCTTAAAAAGGATGGATTGGAGGAGAGAACTGAAGGCAGGAACAGCAGAAACCAGGCTTATTATCCTATGCAAAAGGCGATGGCCCAAACTAAAAGCGAGTCGGGGGGATAGGAAGTGGGGCAGTGGCAGGATGAGCTAAGTCCCAGGGGGTAGAAGAACTAGGAACTCAAGAATGGGAGAAGTGCCTTTCTTTGAAGCTTAATCCTTAGGAATTAGTGAAGAAAGATTTATAAAATATAAACAAAAAGAGGAAAAGCTAACATAAGGCCAACAGTTCAGTGTTTATTTCTGGATGGTGAGCATATGGTTGTTACATATCCTTCTTCGTACTTTTCTGTTTAAAAACATTTTTTGATACATAGTATCTGTTCACATTTATGGGGTTCATGTGATATTCCCTTACATGCGTAAAATGTGTAATGATCAAGTTAGGATATTGGGGGTGTCCGTCACCTTGAGCCCTTATCATTTCTCTGTGTTGGGAACGTTTGAAGTCCTCTCTTGTAGCTGTTTTGAGGAAATGGACAATCTGTTGTTAACTATAGTCACCCTACTGTCCTGTCCAACTTTAGGACTTGTTTCTTCTATCTAACTGTGTGTGTGTACGCATTAACCACATCTGCTCAGAAATCTAAACGTGCATGAAGAGAAAGGGACCCTCTCTTCGTCCCCCACCCCCACCACACACGCCCTTCCCCGCCTTCGGGAACCGCAGTCCACTGCTGCCTTCAGGAGATTCACTTGTCAGCTCCCACGTGGGTGAGAACGTGCAGTATTAGTCTTGCTGTGCCGGCTTATTTCACTTAACGTCATGACCTCCAGTTGTGTCAGCGTTGCCGCACGTGACAGGAGTTCATTCTTTTTATGGCTGAGTGGTATTGCATCGTGTATGCACGACGTCTTCGTTTTCCAGTCCTCCGCTGACGGACACGACGCGTTGATTCGTATCTTTGCTGTTGCGAACAGTGCTGCGACATGGCAGGGCAGATTCCCTTTGACGTACTGATTTCCTTTTCTTAGGATAAAGCAAAAAAAATTTAAGAAAATATAAGGCAATATTATTTTTTCCCTTTCTCTGTCTTTCCAGAAATGCCTTGCCTTGCGGAGTATGATGATGGCTTATGGTATAGAGCGAAAATTGTTTCCGTTAAAGAATTTAATCCTTTAACTGTCCTAGTACAATTTGTTGATTACGGATCAACTGAAAAGCTGACAGTAAACAGGTAAAAAATAAAAACGTCAACTTAGTTGAATTAGGACTCTTACTTTTGTTTTGGGGGGGGGTTTGGTAGTTCTTTATTGGGAAAATGTTGCCTCTTTTAAAAGAAAACTCTTTTAAATCTGTTTATTAGGATTTTTAATCCAGATTTTTATTGTTAAAATATTGTATAAAATTTACCATTTTAGCTATTTTTAAGTATGCAGTTAATAGACATTAAATACCATTCACAATGTTATACAACTATCACCACTTTTCCATTTCCAGAACTTTTTTGTTATTCCCAACGGAAACTCTGTACCCATTAAACCATAGCATCCCAGTTCATTCTCACCCGGTCCCTGGGAACCTATAATCTACTTTCTGTCTCTATAAATTTGCCTATTCTAGGTGCCTTATGTAAGGAAAATCATACAATATTTGTCCTTTTGTGTCTGGCTTACTTCACTTAGCATAATGTTGTTAAGAGTCATTTATGTTGTAGCATGTGTCAGAATTTCCTTCTTAAGACTGGATAATATTCCATTATATCTATGAAGGGTCTTCAAAAAGTTCGTGGAAGATGCATACTATGAAAAAACTGCATTGATTTCATGTTTTTATTCACCAAAAT